CAGGAGCTTTATGTTCACCTCCTCCATTGCTTCTCCTAGCAACTCCAAAAATCAGCAGAGGAGAAACGGAGGCATAGAGGGTCACACATGTGTAGTTTGTCGGAGTCTGAATTTGACCCCAGGTCTGTCTGGCTTCAAAGCATATGCTCTTGCCCCCGGCCAGGGCTGCTCCCCCAACCGCCTAGCTGGGGGCAGCCTCCCCTTGGCCCATTGGTACCAGAGCAAACTTGGGGAAAACCACTGACTCCACAGAAAGGCCCAGTTCTCAACTTCACCCAGGATTTCCTGTCCCAGGGGAGGATCCCCGATGGCTGTGGGAAGGAGTGGGGTGGGGACCAGGGAGGGGAACAAAAAGAAGCTGAGTGTCAGGACATGTGGGCTTTGGAGGAGGTAACAGAATGTATGTGCCAGGTCCCCAGCAGGGAGACGGCTGAGGAGGAAGACCGTCAGGGGGATCCATATACTTCATGGGACCCACATGCATGCACAGGGCCAGCAGAACCCCACGCACACTCATGCACACGTGTCATGCTTCGCGGGGTCGTGGCACCTAGACACGCAGGTGTATGCGTCACGGCACACCTGCATATTTCACAGGCTGCACACATGCTGTTTAGGCGAATTGCGACAAACAAGTATATAAAGAATCAGCGGCGTGGTTACACATACCGGTAAATAGTTTGCAGGTCATCGCACACACATTGTTCCAAACCCTCACCAAGGGGGCGATGGGGGAGCGTGAAGGGCATGTGGATTTGGTGTGGAAACAGATTGGTTCCAAGGCCTGGCCAAACCCCAACCCAGGAAGCCCAGAGTCCTCCACTCCCCACACCCCCTCCCACCCCCGGACAGGCCGCTGCCAACCTCGGCCCCCTCTGCCCTCGGCACCTAGAACAGGAACGAACCCCATACACACACGGACACACGGGCGCGCACACACAGGCCTCGGAGAAAGCTCGCACCGACCCACACAGACGTCTTCCACAAACATGACACACACACAAGCTACGTAGGCCCTGGCCGCAAGGGCGCACACGCGTCCAAGCGAGACCCTCACACAAACATGGCCGGGGGGCCGGTCACACACACACCCCCAGCACCACGGCCCTCGCACAGACCCGCCGATACGTGCCTGCACCAAGAGGAAACTACAAAGACACACGCAAATCAGACACACATACAACAACCGAGTGCTTGTGTGCACACACACCACCCCCATCACGGAAGGAATCCCCCAGAAGAGACCACTGCCCGCCCCCCCCACCTTCTGCCTTGGCAAAACAAGGCCCGGCTTGCCCCATTAGCTCTCTGCTCTCCCTGGCCCGAGACAGACCCTGCCCGGCCTGCCCCGGCCTGCTCGGGTGGGGCCCCGCCCGCTGCCAGCTCAGCACAGGGCAGGGTCCCTGCGCTCCCGGCTGCCGCTCTGGCACGTTGCGGGGCCCCCCCTCTTGCTGGGCCTGCCACCTCAGCATCTGGGCCCCGGCCGGCCTCCACCTCGCCCATTTCTGCAGGCAGTAGGCGGCGCGCCTGATGCCCCGAGCTGGGGGCGAAGAGGAGGGGCAAGATCCTAGGGGGAAGGCACAGCCGCCTGGTCCTTTCTCCTTCTTCAGACTGACCCCTCCTCACCAATCCTGGATCCCCCCAGTAACCGGTAACCTCCTGATTGCAGTGAGTAAACACCCCCAGAGCTACAAGTCTGTCACACTGTCCCCTAACCCACGGACGTCTGTCCAGCACACACACAACCAGCACTCTTTCTCACGGCCCCACGCACACAGCCTTGCACGCACGACCACTCGGTCATCTACCCCCCAGCACGTCACACCCCATGCCGCCGCACTGCCAGTCACACGGAGCCCCATGACAGATACACGGCGTCATGCGGCCTTCGTGACATCTACACAGCCGAAGGAAACCGTGCCCCACGCGTGGCCGGTCACGCAGACTTGCCCAACCTCCCTGGGGGCTGGTAATTGTCCCACTCGGCCATGCCAGGGGTGCCCTGAGAGAGCTGGTTCTCGGGGTGCAGGTCTCTGCACACACACACACAGCCCTGGTGTCCCCAATTCCAAGACATCAGGGTGGGCTTCATTTTCTCCCTGCTCTGTTCCTATTCTGCAGCTATGATCAGCCCGGCCAGGGGGCTGGGAGACGTCCCCCCAGAAGCCACGCCCTCGCACAGCGGCGCCCCCCACCCAGACATGAGGAAGAAAAGCAAAATTGGCCAGTGGCTGATTTGCACACAGGACCGTAGCTGAGGCAGCTGAGGTGGACAGGGAAGAGTAGGCCGTGGGCCTGCTGCCCAAGGAGGGGGCCCTGCGCGGGCCTGGCAGGTGGGGTGCTAGAGGAGGAGAGACAACGACAAAATGGTGGCAGAGACACCAGGGAGAGGGCCGGGGTCCAAAAAGCAGTAAAGCTCCTCGGGCCACACTGGGGAGGCCCAGACCCTGCAGGGGCGACAGGCGGAGGTCTGAGGCCCCAGACTCGCTCCTCTCCTGCCCCTCTCCTCCTCCCTCTCTGGACTTGAGAGTCCAGCAACGGGCACCTAAAAAGCTCCCACCGGGAGCTTCTGGGGCTGACCCTGCTCCTTCTTGGTCAGGGCGCTGCTACCTTGCCGTGTTCAGTTTGTGGAAGCTCATCAAGCTGTAGACTTAGGACTTGAGTACCTCTGCACGTACGGTACACTTCAATGAAAAAACTGTTTGAAAATAAATCCCCTGCTGTGTACAGAGCGCTGTCTTTCCGGGTTGACCCAGTCTGTCATGCCCGTCGCCTCCTCTGCCCATACAACTGCCCCCATGACTCGGTCCTCATCGCAGCTGCCCGGGGTCCTCTGTACGAGTGCGCAACACAGACGTGCGGGCTCACACGCGCACACGCACGCATGCACACACACACACACACCCCTGCCCCCCCTCCCCGTTTTCCTCTGTGCCAGCGAGGCTGCAGCCAGCAGGGCGAGGAATGTGGGCAGGCCTCCCTTCCACCTAAAGAACAGATACTTCCCACCACTTGCTCTGTGCCAGGCCCGGGGATACACGATGCATTCCAGGCAGACCCGGCCCTCACCAACGTCACCGTCTGTTGGAGAGGCTGCGACCCAGGGGAAAGGGCCCTGCAGTAGAGTACAGGGCAGTGGGGGAGCCCAGCTTCAGAGGGGCCGGGGACGACTGACCGGTGGGCCAGATAGGAGACACACACTGCAGGCAGGGGGAGAGCGTAAGACTGGGAGGTGCCAGGGGGCTTCCTCCAGGAACCTGCAAGGAGCTCAGCGGTGGAGCGAGGGAGATGCAGGGGGAATGGGCGGGGGGTGGCTGCAGAGGTGGTCTTCAGCCAGGTCAAGCAGGACCTTGAGTGCCAAGCTCAGGGGCTTGGTTTTCCCCAAGGAAGGGGTTTAGCCAGGGTGTGACATGATCAGAATCAACCCGGAGTGCTGTGGAAAGAGGAGCATTGATGGGGAACATGGACACCCAAGTTCTCGCCCTGGCCCTGCCGAGACACTCAGTGACTTCCCTCTAGAGCCTCCAAAACAACAGGGTACCGGGCCAGCTATGTTCTCCTGAGGCAGGTGTCCCTTCTTCCAGAGCCAAGAACCCCCCTCTGACACCCGCTGTGCACATCCTCCCGCGTCCTGTTGGAGCTTCCCCAGCCAGCCCTTCCTCTGCATAGTCCTCCCACCCTCACCTCCCTCTGCCTTGCTGGTGGAGCCGGGAGCCTGCCACCTGCTGGAAAGATGGGAGCCAGTAGGCCAGCACCTGGCAGTGTGGCGCCCTCTAGGGGAGCCCCTGCCACCTCTGCGCTGTAGCAGGTGACACACCCCTGCAAGAATACGGCTGCCCCTCCTGGGTGCCCGCAGCCCCCAGCTCCCCACCACCACAGCATTGGCCCCTGGGTTGTCAGGTGTGTAAGGCACAGGTGGATGGGGACTAAAATCCACCCCAAGCTCCACTCACCAAGCCATACCCATGGCTGTATCCCCCAGGAGGATGGGGGCATCCTCTGATTTGCAGGAAAGCAGCCTGTGGGCGTGTGGTGGCCTGCAACCCAGGGGCCTCCCAGGTCTGGCTCCCGGAACGGGGAGGGTGCAGCAGTCCTGCCCGCTCTGCTCAAAGAGCATGTGGAGCTGCTTCTTCCCTGCTCCTCTGCTGCCCCCCAGTGGACATCGGAAGTACTCCTAGTCGCTCAAATCCAACCTCCCCTCAGGCTACGGCCCCGTCCTGGCGCCCAATCCTGCCGCGTCCACACAGGCTGAGCCCACACAGGCTGAGCCGCAGGCTTCAGGGAAAGATGAAAATCCAAGGCTTTCTGTGTCCCTTGGGTCCCCACCACTCCACTGGCCCCTGACACCAATACTGGACTCTCGAAGTCTGGCAAAGGGGGACAGATGCTGGTGTTGGAAGTTTTACATCCCCTTTTATCACCTTCCCTCAGTCCCCTTTGCTGTGGGAACCAATTCAAACTTTGTCTCCCTGACCTCAGTCTCCCTACTTTGAACCAGAGCCCAAAGATATGTTTTCCCTGCCTTGTGTGGTCTTAGCCAGGAGAGTGTTTTTTCTAAACATTTGAATTAGCTGTCAACACTTAAAAATTAGGAGATTTCATGTAAAAATTCAGATTTCCAATTTCTGCTGCAAAGTTGAAAGTTCTGGAAACTCTGGATGAAAGTTCGAAAACTTGCTTGTCTACAGCAGGCGGGGGCTGAGTAAAGAAGTTGCCCTGGGCTGGGCCCCAACATGTGGGCAGGCACAGAAGGGTGCAAAAGGAGGCCCACAGCTCCCCTCCCCTTCTGACCCAGCTCCATCCCCTACTTCATCCCACATTTGGACGGGCCACCATGAATACCAGGACAACTCTTCCAAGGGCCGTCTGTACCAACCCAACAGGAATATAGGGTGAGTTACAAATGCAAGCCACGTATATAGTTTTTAGTTTTCTGGTATCCACATTCATAAAGTAAAAAGAAATAGAATTAATTTGAATAGTAAATTTATTTAACCCAATATATGCAAAATATTATTTCAACATGTAATCAATATTTAAGACTGCTCATATTTTATATTCATCTTTCTCCTACTGTCTTGAAGATCTGATGTGGGTTTTATAGTCACAGCACATCTCAATTCAGACTAGCCACATTCAGAGTTCTCAACCACACGTGGCTAGCGGCTGCCCAATTGGACAGGGCAGCTCTAGAGGCTCCCCACCCCCAAGTCAGCCATCCCTCAGCCAGGATGAGGTACAAAGGAGGCAGGACCCAGGGAAGAAGCCCCAGCAGTCCCCAGAAGTGAGCTTAGGGCCTACTGGACAGGATGGGGAGACAAAGGCTCTGTGGGTGGACCTGCTCCTCAGCAGAGGAGCAGGGGCACGGCCAGAGAGTAACAGAGCAGGGGTGCCTCCGGCCCAGGTGTTCTAAGTGGTTCTAGTTTGCTGTTGTGCTCACCACGCCCTTTTACCGTCCCTACAATGAGGCCGAGTGTCAGATGCCCTATCTATATGTGCACCATCTTCTAATAAAGATGAAATAGAGAAAACACGAACAGATAAGACAGAGAAAAGGAAAGTAAACCTTCCCTGTGCATATCTTTCAGTCTGCAGTGGGAGGATGGAAGGCCGGCATGTTTCAAAAAAGACAGCGGGAAAGCGTAATTCTTTGTGAAGGCCAAGAATATTCCAGCATGTTTTATGTGCGGGTGACTATCCACAGTTTCTCACCCCACACCAACTTCTCTGTTTTACCTTAGCTGCCTGGCCCCTGTGGGCATTTGAATTTTAAGCTCCTAAACCAAAAAAAAACCTCCAGGTTGCTCACATTCTCACCGGTCCAATAAGTCCCACAGGTAGACTGGTACCCTGAAGGAGAGGGAGTGTCCGGGGAACCATCCAGAAGCCGGCTACGGTGGGGAAGGTGATCGGCTGGGCACTCCCCACAATGCCCACGAGGGGGCACCCGAAGCCCGGGTGAAGTGACCCATGGGCCCAAGGAGTCTGAAGCGATACTGCCCCCCTCTCTCCCCCACCCAGTGGCATGCCTCCCAGCCTGGCCCACTCCTCAGTTCTCTCCTCTGATCCCACAAGTTTCCCCTAGCTTCAAACAGTCTGGGCAGGTCAAATAATCTGGGAACAGCTTCAGGCTTACAGTCTCTTTTTCCAGTCCACACTGCCACCAAAAGCAGGCAACCCTGAGGAAATGACTTCCCCTCCCGGGGCCTCAGACCTCGTCCCTCATGAGGTGAGGATGAGAAGAGAACCTTCCTCAGAGAGAACACGTGAGAAGCAGGCGAGGTGGGGTAAGCACTTTGACACCTGCAGGAGAGGAAGAAAATGCCGTGGCGGGGGGGGGGGGGGGGGGGGAATGGCCAGAGTGGGCAGGTGCCTGAGGACCCCTCTGCCTTAACATCAGAGCCACGCTGCTTCCCAAGGCCCCCCAGTCTGATGGGGAGTGCATGCACTGGGGTGAGCCGCAGACACAGAAGGGAAGACGGACGGAGAATTCATCCTGAAAGGGCTCTGAGGGAAAGGGCAATCCTCGCCATCTAGGGTTCACAGAACTCCTTCACATACATTACTGTGTCCCAGCCTCAACTGCCCTGGGACAGGGTGGATCGTCCCCCCGTCCCTGGCAGCAAATTAAAGTTCAGCGAGGGGTGGCAGCATGCCCACAGTCCCAGACCCTGTGCATGGCAGAGCTGGTCTTCTGATGTTCACCCAGCACCCACCCCAGCTTAGCCACACGTCCGTCGGGAGACTCCAACTTCCTCTTAAAGCATCACCTCCGCCACTTCCCATCCCTACTCCCCACCAGGAAAATTCTCCAAGGACACCACTGCTTCTGAGATCAAGTACAACGTTCTCGGCTCAGCATGTCGGGCTTCCAGGACTCATCAAAATATCCAGAAGATAAAATGGCAGGGCGAGAAGATATCTTGGCGCCCACAAAGTCCGACACCTTGGTTCAAGAAGAGGGGACTGAGGCCCGAGAAGGGAGAGATCTTCCAAACATCCCAGAGCAAGTCAAGGGCAAGCCGGGGCTGGAAGCCACTTTACTTACTCCAGCCGGGACTCTCTCTGCTCATCTTCTGGGCTCATCTGGAAGCTATGCGCCTGAGACTATATGAAGATTGGCTTCAGCTAAGAGTAATAGCAAAACCCAGAATAACAGTGGCTCAGTGCAGATGGAATTTTATTTCTCTCCCAATTTCCAGACATGGAAATAACCTGGCCAAGGCTAATATGGCATCCCATGGTGCACAGACCAGGTCTCATCTACACTTTGCTCTGCCAAGGATGGCTTTCGTTCCCCAGGTCTCCTCAAGGTCCAAGATAGCTGCTGAACTACAACCATTCCGTATGCATTCACACCAGCAGAAAGGCGGGGTGGAAGAAGCGCTCACACTCTCTCCATTTTAGGATACTTCCCAGAAGTCTCACCCTCCACTTCCTCTTCTAGCCCTTTGTCACATGGCCACAGTTAACTGCAAGGACAGCAGAAGTATGCAGTCTTTATTCCAAGTAGCCATGTGCTCAACTAAAAGTGGAGTTCTAATTACTGGGGAAAGTGGGGGAGAATAAGATTTGGGGGACCACCAGCAGTCAATGCTGCCCTAAGTCATCACTGAGTCCATCGTGCCCAGCGACTCCTCACCTTGCCAGATGCCAAACATCCAGTCCTCTTTCACCCTGTGCCTGACGGTGTCTGCCTCATCCCAGGTGACCAGTGAATGCCTGCTGAATGATTGAGCAAGTGAAGTTGACTTTTCTGGGTCGTGCATGGTTTTCCCAGGTAAGCTGAAAGTAGTTTGAGGCCCAGGACCCTGGCTTAGGTGTCTGTGGATTCACTCCTGCCATCCTCGTCCCCACCCTCCGGGCACCAGCCACACACTGCTAGGCACATTTGTGCCAAGCTTGGCCCCGAGTCTGCCTTCCCCCCCTTTCCCAGGCACTTATAGATGGCCTGATTGCTGCTGTGAGGCCAAGGCCACTTTGCAGGGAGATGCTTTAGAAGACCAATACAGGAGTGCCTGGGTGGCTTAGTTAGTTAAGCATGTGACTCTTGGTTTTGGCTCAGCTCATGATCTCAGGGTCTGAGATCGAGCCCTGCATCGGGCTCTGCGCTCAGCGGAGAGTCTGCTTCTCTCTCTCCCTCTCCCTCTGCCCCTCCCACTCATAGTCTCTCTCTCTCTCTCAAATAAATAAATATTTTTTTAAATAAAATAAAATAATAAATAAAAGACCAATACATCAAGAGAAAGAGAGAAAGAAAAGAAAAGAAAGAAAGAAAGAAAGAAGAAAGAAGAGAGAAAGAAAGAAAGAAAGAAAGAAAAAGAAAAAAGAAGAAAGAAAGAAAGAAAGAAAGAAAGAAAAAGAAAAAAGAAGAAAGAAAGAAAGAAAGAAAGAAAGAAAGAAAGAAAGAAAGAAAGAAAGAAAGAAAGAAAGAAAGAAGATAGAAGGAGAGAAAGAAAGGGCCCACCTGGCCTGTAGTGTCTAGGAGGCTTTCCTGCAGAAGCTGCATTGCGGGCACTGTGAAGAACAATAGGAAACTCCTCAGTGTGCATAGAAAAGCACCGTGTTCCAAGAAGACTGAACAGCCTGTGCAGAAGGCCCGAGCAGAAGACAATGTGATGAGAACCAAGCCCTGAAAAGCCTGCACCACTGAATCAAAGAGAACACAAGAGAGGGTGGCCAGGAGGCCTGAGGAGCAGGAAGAGGCCGAGCAGGCCCAAACTGTGGGGCCTTCTCCTGTGTGTCAACATGAAAGTCTGCTAAGCAGGAGACTAACCAAACCTGATTTGTACTTTTAAAGGTGCACTCTAGCCAGGGGCACGCCGGAATCTTCTGTGAGGTAGGAAATGTTCTATATCGCAGGTGGGAAGGGAAGCAGAAATCTATGAAGCACTTTCTGCCTTTTACTGCACTCATGTTATACCCCAGCAAGAAAGGAACAAAGGCTTTGTTCTTTGATTGGCCAGGCTAGCTCCACCACTCTTGTGGGCCCAGAGAAGAGGTAGTGTGACTGGCAGGCCCATCAGAACCACAGGCTGCAGCTGGGAAGGACAGTCCCTGAAAAGAAGGAGGAGGCCGTGGGAGCGGCCAGGTTTGGGGAGAGTCCTGTCACCAGAAGGGGGAGGGATGCTGGATACACAGAGCTGCTAACACCCACCAGGATAGGCAAAGCTTCAACAAGCTTAAAATTGTTCAGCTGTGTAGGCTGTACAGATGATAAAAATCTAGTATTGTCCAAAAGCCCTGGCCCAAGCATTGGACACCACTTCCATCCTTACAGGGTAACATTGTGCAAAGTCTACATGCATAAAATGGGGACTTTATTACCCGCCCCACAGGATCACTGGAGGGTTGGAAGGTGATGCAGCACCAGATCTGCCATTAAGTAGGTATTCGAGAAGGGTTAGCTTCTATCCTTCCTCACTGTCGTCTAAATGAGAATTGGATGGCCAGCTCTTGTATTTGGTGTCCCCTGAATGCTGAGTGTCATTGATCACATAGCAGGTACACAGCAACCTGGAAAGGAAGGAGGGGGAGGGAGCGAATTCTCCCCAGACTTTTCCTGCCTTTCCCTGAGCAAACACCTGGGGTGTGGAAACACCAGGAGCCTATTGGTGGGGCCCTTGGCTGCCCCCAGCATTCATGCGGCAGGGCCTGATTAGACAGGTGGCTGGCCTCAAGGACTGGGTGGGGCACAATTTAACATACTGACTTGGGGCCTCACGGGGCAAGAGGTCCCTCTCACTCGGTGGCATGCCTGCTCCGAGCTCTAACACCACCCTGCCGCCTCCCGGGACCCTGGTGAGAGTCAGCCACGCATGAGCCAAAGGCTGGTTAGGCTGTAAGTTGTGATAAAAATGAATTTCTTACTTCAAGCTGTTGCCAGTTAATGAGAGATAATGGTGTTCTAAATAATGGTACTTAGTCCTTTATTGGGACAGAGTCCAGAACTCTGGGCCTAGCCCTGGGAGGGGCTGGGAGAGTAGAAGGCCTGGGATCAGTCCGGAAGCAGCTCCATCAAGGTAGGTAGCCAGGGAGATAACCAGAGAACTCCAAGGCTGGGAAGCCAAGGATCTGGGGACAGGAGCCCTGAGACCCTACAGCAGGACCAGAACTTGAGAGCTTCCTGTCACCACAACTGTACTCTCTGCATGGTTTTTATTCTCCCTTGGTGCTTTGGAAAGTCAGAACTAAGTAAGGGCTTGTCCACACTTAGTCCAGTGCTAAGAGGTCCACATGTCTGCCTGGAACCCCAGGTGGTGGTAGTGATGAAGCCGCAGGCCAGGGATGCCCTGCCCCACCCAGGCGTGTCCTAAACCTCTGGCCCTGCCCTAGACCCCAGAGGCTGCAGTTCCAGCAAAGATGGGCAAACCCCTTTACACACTTAACAGAACATAAACACACCCATATCAACACAGCACACCCTCCACATGCAAACACAGAATGCACACACCCTTCACACACTTGGCTGTATATATAATATAAACACTGCGTGTAGGGGCGCCTGGTTGGTGCAGTCGGCTAAGCATCCGACTCTTGGTTTCAGCTCAGGTCATGATCTCAGGGTCGTGAGATCAAGCCCTGCGTGGGGCTCCACACTCAGCGTGGAGTCTGCTGGAAATTCTTTCTCCCTCTCCCTCTGCCCCTCCCACTCGAGCTCACTCTCTCTCTAATAAATAAATAAGTCTTTAAAATATATATAAACACTGCGTGGAAAAGGGTGAAAAAGGAATGGCAAGGACCAGTGGCGGATGGGAGCAACCGTCAGTGGAGCCAGGAGGAGCCCACTTACCAATGCCGAGTCCTATACTATGTTGGCTTCTAGAAACTGTGGGTGTGACACGTCCAATTGCTACAAATGCACTCTGGGCTTCTGAAGGGAGAGGAAACCCGGGACTCCTTGGTCCCCAGCTGCAAAGGAATGAAGACGGTAAAAAGACATCTGTGGCCACCAAGGAAATGCCATGTGCCCGGCCGAGGAGGAGGAGAGGCTTGGGAACTGCAGAGTATAGATGCCCGAGCTTCCTCTTTCCTGCTGGGCCAATTACTTGGCCCTCCGGGCAAGCAGTCCTGCGAGGTCTACGGAAAGGAAACTACACTCTCTCCTGATAATAGCATCTGAAACCCTCCTGGCCTGCCTCAAAGGGTTTGTCGCACAGATAAAATGAAACGGGGTACTTGAAGAGGACACTAACGATTTCAGCAAAGAAGTCTCTCTGGGAACAGCCTGGAGAAGGCCAGACTTTCATCCCCAGTGCCCCCCCACTTCCTAGGGCCCTCCCCACCAGCTTCTGAGTCCCAGGAGAGGCCTCCTGACCCCCTCTCCCCCACCCCACGGACAAGGGCTGCACAAAGCCAGTGGGATTGGCAGAGTCGGCTGAGGCTTTATTTGGGAAGACACTTGAATCGGCTTTTAGTTGGGGGCATGGACAAGAGGGGGTACCCAGGGCAGAAGACTCCCCCCCAAGGGGCTGAGTCTTAGGTGGCTCTCCCGTTCCCGATGCTCCCCGGCACAGCTCCTTTCCCCCCAAAGGCTCTATGGCAGCCACAAGAGTAGGGAGGCTGGGAAGGACCACCATGGTTGTTCACTTGGATAGGACATCAGACGACTCGGACACCAGCTTCCCGTCACGGGTCTCGATCTTCTTCACGACCACAGCCTTGGAAGAGCCACTGCGGCTGAAGGAACCAGCAGGGCCAAAGCTGGACTGGAAGGCGCTCAGGCCATAGTTGAGGCTGGGGCTTGTGAGGCCTCCATAGGCCGAGCTCAGGCCACCTGGTTAGAGACAAAAGCAGCCATATAAGCGCAGGCCAGGCACACATCAGGCTCCACGTCCCCTGTTCCCTGCCATCCCCTACATAGTCCAGGGCTGGGGAATCGCCCTGGCTCATTATTTTAGGATGGTTGGGGAAAACCAGGAGCAGGGTAGGACAGAGCTTTGAATTAGTTATGTAACCTTGGACAAGACCTCTAACTGGGCCCCAGCTTCCTCACCTGTACAAGAGGGAAATTTATAGGAGCTGTATAAAAAGGCCCCACCCTCCTGCCCTACACCCCAAGGCTGGGACACTCACCTGAGTAGCCACTCGTGGTCTTAGTATGGATACTCATGTTCTGCATCCCAGACTCCAGCCTGTACCCAGAGGATACATGGGACATCAGAACCAACTCTGGGCCCTTGTCCCAGGACAACAAGATTCAATTCCCACCCCTGCCCACCCCAAGTCCCCGGGCCAGGGCACCAGGGCCAGTCAGAGACCCCAACACCCACCGGCTCTCCTCGCCCTCCAGCAGCTTGCGATAGGTAGCAATCTCGATGTCCAGGGCCAGCTTGACGTTCATGAGCTCCTGGTACTCACGCAGCTGCCGGGCCATGTCCTGCTTGGCTCGCTGCAGGGCGGCCTCCAGCTCAGCCACCTTGGCATTGGCATCCTTAATGGCCAGCTCCCCGCGCTGCTCAGCATCAGCAATAGCCGCCTCCAGGGCAGCCCTCTGTGGGGGCAGGGGGACAGGTCAGCAGGTAGAGCAGTCTGGTTGCTTCCTCCCCCTGCACCCACCTTCCCTTTCCCCTCTACTGGGGACCAGAGCCTCTCCCTGACCTAGACTAACCAACTCCACTTAGCTCCAAGAAAATGCTACCAATGGGCTTCAGGAAGCAGAACAGGGAAATCTAAGCAGCTCCCAGGCACCTCCTTGCATAAACTTCTCACCTGGGACACCACGAGGCATCATCCCAGCCTAACTAACTGGACCACATCTCCGCTTTCCAGACTGCCTTAAAGCAGTAGAACCTGACCTTACCCTGTCTTACTTATAAGACAGATAAAATAAAGCAGGCTTGAGGGAACCCATCCTGGAGCCTAATCCCCCTCTGACCCCTCATCATGGCCCCAGGGACCTCCTCAGTACCCTTCAGACCCCCCGGAGCAGTCTGAGAAGCTTAAAGTCTGGTCTAGAATTCCTTTCCTGACCCCCAGCTCCCTCACTCCTTGCTGCCTTGTCTGCTCTCACCTTGACATGTCCAAGGATCCTCTCCACCCCCAGCCCAGCTCATACCTGGTTTTTGAGGGCCTCGATCTCAGCCTGGAGTCGGCTGATGCTCCGGTTCATCTCAGAAATCTCCGTCTTCGTGCGACGGAGGTCATCCCCGTGCTTCCCAGCCAGTGTCTGCAGCTCCTCGTACTGTGGGTGTAAGGCAAGAGTAAGGCAAGTGCCCAGCTCGTCTCACCTCACCCTTTCCCCACACACATACACACACACACTACGGCCAGCCTTCTTCCAGACCTCCAGGCACATGGACATCCCTGCCTCCCCAGCACCCACTCAGCAGGCCCAGCTCACAGCAGGCAGGCTAGTTTGAAATCCTGGTCCCTCCTCAAGTATGAGGGCACAGAACCGGCCAGAGGGGAGGGCCAGCCTAGTGACCCTGCTCTTCTTGGGAAGCCAAGGATCTGGGGACAGGAGCCCTGAGACCCTACAGCAGGGCCAGAACTTGAGAGCTTCCTGCCCTACCTTGATCTGGTACATGGCCTCGGCCTCAGCCCGGCTGCGGTTGGCAATGTCCTCGTACTGGGCCTTGACCTCGGTGATGATGCTGTCCAGGTCCAGGGAGCGGCTGTTGTCCATGGACAGCACCACGGACGTGTCCGAGATCTGGGACTGCAGCTCACGGATCTCCTGGGGAGGGGGGACGGCACGGCAGGGGGTGGGCGGTGAGGCCCTGTCCTTGCACACAAGGACCCCCCTTTGGCAGAAGGGACTTCCTTAGGGACAGGACAGGAAGGCCAGCAACCGAGGAGAGAAGCAGGTGGGAGCTACGGCTGGGAAGATGAGTCAAAGGCTTGAAACCTGGAGGGATGTATGGATGAAAGGAGGCAAGGACAAAAGGCCACCTGGCTCCAGGTGAGTGACCAGAGGGGCAGAGCCCTTCCCCATTCAGCTGCCAACAGTGAGCCCTTAAGAGCTTGCTACAAGAAACAAAGGCTCTGGGGACAAAGCAGGTTCAAGTTGCAGCTGGGCAACCCCTCTGTGTATGACAACCTTGGACAAGCTATTTCATTCCCGAGCCCGTTTTCTTATCTGTGAAATGGGGTAATAAACCCTCCCTCACCCTCACGCAGGGGGACAAAACATATAGAACATATAGAACCCAACAGCCATGTTGGGTTATATGGCTAATTGTAATTATTCAGTGGTGAGAGACCCTGTCTGCTGACGTGCTGGGGGCTGGTAGGAGCCTCTGATGGGGCGGGGGCCCCTCAGTCTTCAGCCCCCCTTCACATACCTCTTCATACAGCTGCCTTAAGAAGCTGATCTCGTCGGTCAGCCCTTCCAGGCGGGACTCCAGCTCTATCTTGTTCATGTAAGCTTCGTCCACATCCTGGGTGGTAGGGAAGGGGAGTGAGTCTGAGCTGAACATGACCGCAACCAGGGGCACCCAATGGCCCAGACATAGAACCTTATGACTTTCCCACCTCATTCTCTGGCCTGATCCTCCAGCCCCTGCCCCATCACACCTGTATGCCCAGCGCAAACACCTTTACCTCCGTTTCCTGCAGCCCTCCTCCCCCCTCCCCCTCCCCCCTCCCCCTCCAAGAAGCCTTCCATGGCCACACCTCCAATTCTGCTCCGTTTTCTTAACCATATCCCAATATCAATGTCCAAAGTTCTGTCCAAACGCACCTAACTACCCCTCTGTCCTTGTCTGTCTTTCTGTGCTGTATACCTGGGAGGTGGCCAAATATCCCATTACTTGGACACATTTAGGGACAGAACCCAGAAAGCCTTATTCCAAGTCTCTAAGCCCCGCCTCCTGTTATCTGGTCGAGGAGGGGTCATCCCTCACCTTCTTGATGAGGACAAATTCATTCTCCATGTCTGCACGCTCTTTGATCTCCTCCTCATATCTGGTGAGGAAGACTTAGAATCAGAGGATGAAGGCAAAGGTGAGGTTGTCCTGACTATTTGGGGAGGCAAGAATATCTAGGAAATTCAGTTCATGAAGATGCAGGATATGAGAACAGGTCTGGTCCTTCTGCCTCAACCAGCCATTCTCTCCCCACCCTTACCCCAGGTTATCATCAGCCAGTGGGAAAGCCAAGAGTAGGAAACCCCTCTCGGAATCCATGAATACACATTGGATCAGGCACATGAAGAGGGTTAGCAGCAGGGACTGACATGAGACCTCAGACAGAACTTTCTGGGGTGTACTGGAGATCAAGGGTAAGGAATAAATAGGGCCAGGGCTGTAAGTATACAACAGAGGCCTTTCCCACCTTAGGTTTACTATGTACATATTAACATAAAATCTGTTGTCCAAATCCAGACAGTTCTGAGATTGAAAGGGGGTGGGTGCTATTAACAATCATGGACAATGGGCATAAAGCTAGACTGTCCTGGAAAACCTGGTCCTCTGGTCACCGTAATTATACAGGACTGCACTGCCCGACAGGCAGGGGGCCACGTGGTCTTAGGCAGGATCGGAGGGCTTCAGTCAGGTAGGGGGCAGCGGGAAGGAGGGCAGCTCACTTATTCTTGAAGTCCTCCACCAGCCCCTGCATGTTGCCAAGCTCCACCTCCAGCTTCAGCTTCTCCTGGCCCAGGGTGTCCAGCTGCCTCCGGAGGTTGCTGATGTAGCTCTCGAACATGTTGTCTATGTTGCTCCGAGCGGTTTTCTGCTGCTGTAGGAGGCTCCACTTGGTCTCCAGAATTTTGTTCTGCTGCTCCAGGTGCCTCACCTGCATGAGGGAAGAGGGAGCAAAAAGGTCCACATCGGGCCCACGGGGCAGGGGAGGAGTCTGGGGGGTAAGCAAGCACTGTCTTCTCCCCTAAGCCACTTCCAGTGGTGTCTCCGGAACCCAGAGAGCTGTTCAGCTGCTCTGGGAGGCTCCCCAGTGGCCTGAAAGAGACAGCATGGTGAGTGGAGTAGGGAGCCATGTCCCCCAAGTGCTGGGGGTAGGGGGGAAGGGGGACGACAAGCAAGCACACGGGTGGAAGGGAAGGGCTAGGAGAGTTATGTTGAAATGGTATTTGCGAACAAATAGGTCTTATTTACTTAGACTGTATATTACAAATCAGTAAGAATAGCCAAGTTTCCATTAACACTTTATAGAAGATTGAAAAAGAAATGTAATTGCTCATATCAAATATTATCGTCATCATCATTATTATATGGAGTGGCTTCGAGGCACTCCTACAGATTACAGAGAAACTTCAGCCCTTCGGCC